TTATTTATGTGTGAGTATGATCTCAATATTGAACTTCTGACTTTTGGTGGCTATAGCTACTAGACGTTTTTAGCATTTAGACAGTGTGGACTGCCAAAATGATTAGAAACTGGGTAATTTGACTAGGGTAAGTAACTTTATGTCTGAAAATTTCTGTATTTTCTTCTATACCTGCTACTCAGTACATGGCACCATCTTCTAAGTACTGTTACATGAATACAAACTTCACAGTGGTGTATTTCCTGTCTCTTCATTCTTTCTCTCTTCCTGTTTTTTTTTTTTCTGTACTTTAGGTTATTTAGTAAGGTTTGACTTATGTAAAAACGTGTATCAGTTATGAATGGAATTCAGATTTTATTTCATAGATCAAAATACAAAAATTCTATCCAGTATAATTTCTTAGTCTTCATTTTCCTGGGTGAATGAATGTTTAACTCATTTTGTGACAGCAGGAAAATAGCATCTAGATATTTTCCAGTGTTGTACATAAAACTCTTGTTGAAACACATCAGTTGAAATATCCAACTTTCTTTCTTTTCAACTTTTTTCATCTTTAATAAATAGTCCCTTTTTTTGTAAATTAATACCTTATATGGTCTTCCTATTAACTGTGAGTATATTAGTTTAAGAATCACTTTCCAAAGGTGTTGCTAAAAGTCAGTTTTGTTCCCCTTAAATGAGTGGCCTTTCCATGAAAGCAGACTTACATCTGGTCCATAAAACTTGACTAAGATTTAAAACTGTATTTCAGAGACTCATTTGGAGGTGCCCGAAGAGGGGTGTCTCAGTGACCAGGAGTTCAGGGTCTCACTAGTTCTGCCTTTAGTCCTCAGTAGGTGCTGCAGAAAGCTTATTGCCTGGATACTGAATTCATAAGCAGTCCCAGAGAAACTGGTACCCTTGATCTCATAAAGGCCACTGGTGATATAACCTTGTTCTTAATGAGGAGTGGCCAGAAATAGTACAGCCAGGCCACCTAAGAATAGGTTCTCACTAATTCTCTTGAAATACATAGCTATAATTGAGTCACACACTCACCTTCCACATATGGTATTGGTACTTGAATGTAGATTTTGTTCTTATAATCTAGTTGTATCAGTTCATTAGCAAAGAGCTAGCAGCTTTAACTGCTTTAAAATGGCTGTTTTACCTCAGAGTAACCTTTATTTAGAGAACCTCAAGACCTCCACAGGAATGCTATTGGTTAGCAGGGTTTATCTCCATTTATAGATGAGGGAGCTAATTCTCAGAGAGCAGCTGAAACTTGTATAGTGGTAAATTGTTGAAAAATCAGGCAGCTTTCCATTGACTGAATTAAGCATTTAATTTCAATAGAAGTTGCTTTGCACAATGGAAAATGTTGTGATCTATGAAATAAAATTTCAGTCCCAATTTGCTTTGATCTCTAGACTATACCAAGAAAATAGCCACTCTAATAATAGGTGCCTAGCATGGTTCTTGATAAAATGAGTTAATCAGTATTTGTTTAATGAATTGAGTGAAAAATTTATGTCCGGAAACTGCTTTTAGAAATGCAGAAGCTTCAAATAATAGACAAGCACCAAAAGTAATTTTGATCTTTTTTTCCGTATTAAATGTAGTTAAGGGGTTGGCATATCTCCCTGTTAAAGAGTATTGACATTTGGGCATATTTAAGTTTCCCTGGAGATAGTATTGTGGCAGCCTGGAGAGACCTAAAGAGACATTTTGGTACAGCTTTGCTCAGTTTTTCTTTAAAATACTAATGAAAATTCAGATAGCCCCTCCCAAATTCAAAAACAACAGCAATGGCAACAAAAAAATACCACAGAATATGGAGGATATTGTTTTTGTATGTTATGCATATAATCACTGTACAAAGATACTTTTAACAAGCCTTTAGAAGTTTAAGAACAAAATTGTACTAAGGTTGAACAGATTAGTAATAAACATTGCCAGAAATATTTTATTAGTGAACGTCTTAGTATAATAAAAAGACTGTTTAAACAGTCTCAGTAAGAAAACTTCACACACTGAAAAGCCTTATGTCAGTCGATACCAGAAAAGAAATGTACGATCAGAAGTGATTTTGATGGCTACATAAATCATCTTTACTGGATGTTACCATCCATGTCCATGACAACATAAAGAGCATTTTTTTGAGTGAAAATAGTGTACTTATGAACTGGTGCGTCCAAAGAAAAAGGAACTTTACCATTTTAATGTATAAATCAGAGGTACACATGTTCGTGTGCACATGTGTGCACTGTTAAAGGTCTGCGGTTTAGACAATTCTACACTCCATGTTACAGAACTAGTTAACCAGATTAAGGTTTTTCATTGTTATTTTTTAAAAACTCGATAATGTTTTTTCCTAAAGCTTCTTTTGTGTCCATCTTTTTGTTTTTAAAAATCCGGTTTCATTATTGTTTGCCCCCTTTTTACTAAATAAATACTAAGTATTCGGAACAATTGGTAGATTGATACTGTGATAATTTTTTCCACCGCAAAGCTTTACACCAAGTCAGTGTATTGAAGAGTTCTTTTTCTTCAGTACCAGAATTGAAATATGATCTTTAGTATTTAAAAGATAAATTTGTAAATCAAAAGGCAAGTTAAATTTTAGAGATTAGAAACTGAAAAAGATAGTGAATTTCTAAGACATATGCATCTAGTAATCTAAACTATATTTACATTGTAAAGCATTATAAAGGATTTAAATCTTGCTATCTTTCTGGCCAAATACACATTTTGACAATTAAATATTTGCTGAAATCTTCAGGAATTAAAAAAATTATATGCAAAAAATAAAAACAATTTTTTTCTTTTCACTTAGAAAAAAGGTCACTGTTTTTAGTACACTGATTTTTTTTTCTTTTGGTAAGGATTAGAATGATAAACATACTGAAATATTCACATTAACATTTACGCATAGGGCAGAAACGTAAAAGGGGTGGTCCAATCTGGAAATGAACCTAAGCCATAACTTGACTTTACCTGTAGGTGTCGTTTAACAGTAGGGGTCTGATGAGATAACCGTAGAGAGAAAATGAAGCGTGAGAATGCAGACGAGTCCAGGGTGACGGACCGGTCTGTCCTGCTGTGTCTGTGGTTCTGTTTTCTCATCATACTTGGGAGTTATGTAATATTTTTAAATCTTTCATAGAATATCTGAAGAGAAACTACAGCGAAAACAAAGTTGTAAAGTTAACTGAATTAATAGGCAAACTCTTTGTTTGAATAATGGAACCGAATCATTAAAGTGACTAATTTGAATTAAGGCATCCATCCCTATAAGGAGTCATTTTAATATATTATTTGTGATCATCATTGACTCTTAACTGTAGAAGTAAAGCCAAAGTGGATTGTTCTTGTGATTGAGCTACACACACTTTTGGTCACTTTTTTAAAAAACTATTTTAAGCTGGGCATGGTAATCCCAGCACTCGGGAGGCTGAGGCAGGAGGATTGCTGAGTACAAAACCAGCCTGGGCTACATAGCTAGTTCCAGGTCAGTCTCAACTACATAGTGAGACCCTGTCTTAAAACACCAATAAATAAATACACTATTTTACATACTTACGGTAAGTTTAATGGTTCTTCAGTACCATATTCATGCTAGATTCTAAGCAAAGAGAGAAATAACAATGGAGCCTAAATGCAAAGAGAAGTTTGGATTGTAACATGTATTTTGCTTTGTCGTAATACAGAACTTTTTACAGTTCATTGATGATCAGAATTCACTTAACCAGGATAAAGCATTGAAATTGCTTTGAAAGATAAATTGAAGAATGAATGCTCCAACTATAGCTATACCATGAGTACTAGGGACATTATTATAGATCCGGAACATCTTTTACTTCCCCAGTCGTCTCCCTACCCCTTGTTCTTCTGCTTAAGGCTGTGTTACTGGTTTGAAAGTGAATCATATGCCCTGGGACAGAACAAAAATTGAGAATAACCAACAAAGGGAAGGTAGCGAACAAAAAGCTAAAAATTGCAGAATTAGTCATGTAGCTTTGCCTAGGAAGGAAACAGTAGTTGTGCAAATGCATTGTGTCAATCAGCTCAAGTTCGAATCTGAGGAAAAATTACAAAGGAAAATGCCCAGAGCACTGAACAGCTGAATGCAAGTAAAGAGCGAGCAGAGGAAGGGTGTGTGAACGAGTGCTAGGGTCCGTGGGGATCCTGCCCTGCGGACTCCAAGGAGAAAGCGGCATTGACTGGTGAGAAAGAGTTTTACATTTTTAATGTTGAAATGTGAGGTGTGGGAAGGGTGGCGAGTAGGTGATAGAAATTTGTGACTAGAGGCAGATTGACGGACTTAGCTTATCTAGACTTGGCAAGATAATATTCACTGCTCACTCCAGACAACACTGAAATGTGAATTTATTAAGATTTGTTTACTGTCTTTATGAGATTTAAATGTAAAGAAATCTCAGTAATTAAGGTTTCTTTCTACTTTATTCCTTTATATTTTCCTCAACTAAAATAGTCACACACACACACACACACACACACACACACACACACACAGTTTTTTATTACTAAAATGTGCCCATGTTTAGCTGGCTCATAATTTTGGGTGCTGAAAATGCAAACAATAGTGTAGGCTCTAGGAAGGGCTTCTCCTTGACTGTGTCACCCATGGCAAGATTTTCATGATGGGAGCATGTAAGGGAGCTAGCACCACATCACCAGCGGGAGCCCACAAGGCTCTGGAGAAGTTGCCCCAGTAGACCAGTATTCTCTTTCTACCATAGCTCTTCCAGTGACCTAGCAGACCACTTTCTTAACTTCACCTTTTAAAGATTCAATGCCTCTCAATACGGCAACCTGAGGACCAGACTTTCAACACATGAACTTTGGTGGGGGACAGACTATATTCAAACCATACCAATTGATTCTTGGAAATCTGGAGTATGTCCTCCTGAATATGGTTAAGTATATTCAGTTATGTTTGTTTTATTAAGGAATTTCAAGTAATTATTGAACATAATCCTCATATCTTTTCTAACCAGGAACCTTTTGAGGATGGCTTTGCAAATGGGGAAGAAAGTACTCCAACCAGAGATGCTGTGGTCACATACACTGCAGAAAGCAAAGGAGTTGTGAAGTTTGGCTGGATCAAGGGTGTGCTAGTATGTATACAGAGACTTCCTTTGAGAGTTACAGCATTTTTATGCATTATAAAACCTACCTAACGTACTCATTAATTTTCAAGAGAATCCCACCCCTCTTTTGTTTTAGTTGTATTGCCTGAGTTCTAGGGAAGATCCAATTATTAGCTTGTACTTCTTTTGGCTTTTGATACTAAATTCAATAGAGGAGATATGTTTATTAATTGAACCAAATTATCCTTGATAAGCTAGGGAAATTTTCACAAATAATTTAAAATTATATTTTAAAAGGAAAAAGAATACAGAACATGTATTACAAGGCCTGAGAGTATTAGATATAATTTAAAAGAGCTTAAGTCTTAAAATATTTCTTATACTTATTGTGTTGCTTCTGCTACTTCTGTTAGAATGACCATTATTTACACATGTACACTTATATGCTACATTATACTTAAAGTCTACCTAAGCTCTTTTTACAGATAGTTCACCAAAAGAATTAGATTTTAACATGTGCCCACCAAATTGAACCACAGATGGTTATCTCATTGGTCAGCTTGTACCACTGGTGGTATAAACAGATCTAATCACTTTTATCAGTCTTTTTACTAATTCAAATGAATAAAAAGCCAACCAATGGGACAATCATGCATGTACTACCAGTGGTTAAAGCCAACTGGCAGCAAGACATACGAATTACAGCCCCATCATGAACATGTTAAAAGTATTATCTTCTGTAGACTCACATACATATTTTTGGCTAGTTTAATGTTTATTATTGTGTTGTTTGATTCCTTCATCTATGTCTTGGCCTTTTTCCTTCTTAGGTACGTTGTATGTTAAATATCTGGGGTGTGATGCTCTTTATTCGATTGTCATGGATTGTGGGTCAAGCTGGAATTGGTAAGTGAAGTTACATAGCGCTTGATTTGAAAATAGTAAATAAATACAGTAACTGCCTTTCTGAGGTCTCGTCCTCATAAAACAAACAGTCATTCTGAGCAGTGTTTTATCTGGATTATCTAATGCTACTATTTTCATAATTCCGACTTGATTTTTCAAAAGTGGTATCAAGATTTGGTAACTTACAGTTTACCTTCAATATACTTAGACCAACCTGTTCTCTATAATGCCAGGTTTAAACAGGAGTATGAAAATTCTCAATTTCTTTTCTTCTTTAAGGTCTGTCAGTTGTTGTTATAGCAATGGCCACTGTTGTGACAACAATCACAGGATTATCTACATCAGCAATAGCTACTAATGGATTTGTAAGAGGAGGTAAAGTCATTCTTTTCCCTTTATATTATTAAATATATTGAGACTTCAATCTTATTTGTAATTTTTTGCTTTAATAGAAGAAACACAAAGTCTGTGCAGACAGGAGAGTTTCTACTAACCACTTCCAAACTACTATATTTTAAGGTTTAAAATACTTAAAATGTTTAGTGTGTCTAGTAGTTAAAATAGAGTTCTTCCTAATCTCCACTGCTCTGTACTTTGTTGTATCCTCCTTCAGTACTTGGATCATTGACATACATCCCAGTGTTTGGTCCACATTGTATAGGTATAACCTTATTTCCCTCTACCACCCCTATCCTCCATTCCCCCTTTGAAGGGAACTAAGATAAAACCTTTCTCACAATCAAACAGCTTATGTGAGTTAAGCCTTGCACTGTGAATCCACGCCTCCAAGTCAGGCGTCACCTGTGAGCAGGCGTCTTTCATTGAAATTTACAAGATCTGCCTTGTGAGATTTTACTCTCCCCAAAGAGAGCATCCAAGAGAATAGGTGAATTGCCTTGGGACCCCAGAAACAAGAAGAAAAGAATTGTATTTTTCAAACCAAGACTCATCATTCATTTGGAGTGATAAGAAGATCCCTGCAGAAAGGACACCACAGCAGATCAACTGAGAAAATAATCCACTTGTTCCCTCTGCTAGTTTTTTGAATATGTTTAATTGACATTATGTGAACAAATTTTTTTTTTTTTTTTTTTTGGTACCGGGGATTGAACTTGGGTCTTTGCACTTGCAAGGCAGGCCACTGAACCGCTGAGCTAAATCCTGGTCCTGTGAACAAAATTTCTGCTTTATCTGCATCAGGTATTTGAAGGGGGAGTCAGAGAACCAAATTGGCTTTTAATTTTTTACCATGGTCTTCATCTTTCCTAGGCACGATGGAATCCAGATAACTGTGACTCTGGAAAGCTGTAGATTATATCAGTACGATTCTAACTATGCTAAGCACACACTATCTACTTAAGTACTCTGAATTGAGCTCTTTTGGACTGTGAAATGCCAATATGTCCAACACAATCAGACAACACTGAGGTGATTCGTTTTGTCTTCTTGAGTACTGGGTGCCTAGCGTTTCATTTCTGTCTGACACTTGGGAAATAAAAGTGGATGGAGGAGGCTAGGGATTTAGCTCAGTGGTTCCTCTGCCTGCCTTGCAAGTGCAAGGTCCCCAGTTCAATCCCCAGTACCCCCCCCAAAAAAAACCCCAAAAACAATGGGTGCAGAGACATGGGTACAGTAGCAGGTGCTTGCAGGAATTCACCAGCTCATCAGGAAATTTCTGTATCCTCAGACCTTAGAATCTAGGCTGTGAGCCTCTGTGGGAACGGGGCATGAAGCTATGAGCAGCATGGACTTGGACTGTTTTCCATTCTAATCTAAATGTCAGGAGGTGCCGTATAGATTTTCCTGATTGTGGTCTCTCACACCCCAAAAAACTGCGTTTTTTAATACTGGTGAATATATATATATATATATATATACACATACACATACACACACACACATACATACACACATATATACACATATACATATATATATATATGGGAGGGGTGTGTCCACTTTAGAAATTGTGTCTAGCCTTCTCTGCCTTGGATATCAGAGAGAATATGCGAATGTGGACCTCATGAAGATCTGTCCCAAGAAATTTGCCTGTACTGTATATCAGTTTTGCTTGAGTTTGTGCAAAATGATACTTCACAAAATCTATAAGAAAAAAGACCATCAGATTATAAAATTTGGAATTCTTCTAGTATCAAGAATTCTATGAATAAGAAAATAAATACATATATTGAAATGGGATCTACAGAAGATGAAAGAGAAAGGTGTGTGTGAGAGACAGAGACAGACACAGACAGACAGGGTCTCACTGTGGAGCCCAGGTTGGCCTTGAACTCCCAGTGATCCTCCCGTCTGAGCTGCCTAAGTGCGAGGATTACAGGTGTGTGCCACACGTTCCACTGGAATTCATTAAAGAAAGGGCAAATATTATAAAACTTTGCTAGAAGGCACTTTGTTCACTTGTTAGTCGGTGACTTTGGACACCTTACTTATCTTTCCAAAACAGAAATGAACTATATCTTCTGCACTGAATATTTTCTGGGGATTCTTGGGGTGACTGTAAGCCCCTTCTGAATCCTCTCTGTCTGACTCATGGACTTGTGGGCTTCTAACAAGATTTATTTTGGTGTTAGGGAAAGCAGTATTTTCTACGTGGGAGAAAACAGAAATAGATATAAAAGTAAAACTCATTTTACCCTGAATTCATGATTGAAAATAGCAAGTATGTAACCTCATGCATTTTACCCTGAAAGTACATTTTTCTTAGCTCAATTAAAATGACCTGTGATAATGACCCAGCCAGTAGCAGTAGGCGCCCCTTGTGCCCACTTTGTGTTTTTTCCATTCAAAAGAACCTGGAAACCTTGGGAATTCCAGATCTAAGCAGGAAATGTGCACAGTCATCAGTCTATCTCCTAAAGTAAGAAAGATAACGAGGGCTTCCAGGTATGTAAAAAAAAAAAAAAAAAATCCCAAGGAGGCGACTTAAGGAGCCCACTTAGAGAAACCAGCAGAAGTTTGTGTAATTTCAGCAGTGGTAATAGTAATGGTAATAACTGATTTGGATAAAATTCATAATGAAACATCTCAAAAAAAAATCTCATTTCTTACCTTTGAACAATGTTAGAGAACCGTTTTATTATGAAAGTTGATAGAAGAATCTAGTGTTGGGTTAAACTTACCTTAATGAAAAGTTTTCTTGAACTGAAGATAACCAAGAAATCATGAGAGGTTTCTTTTTTTTTTTTTAAATAATTGTTCTACAACAATAAGTGAAGGAAGAAAGAGAATATGCTAGCTTTGTAAACTCTTAACATGATAAAAGTATCTTTGAGATACTGTTTCTCCACAAATTGAATCTGAGTCACATGTTTGTGGCTCCAGGGAGCGTTTTTTAGAATGTGTAAGGAGGAGTTAAATATCACTACAGCAAGTTCCTGACTGGGAGTCTATGGTACAAGAAATCCTTGTTCAATAAAATTTGAAAGAGCAGAACAGATGGGAGAGGGAATTAGGTCTAAAACAAAGTGAAATGACTCAATATATTAAGTGTGAATTTCATTTGCCTTTTATGGTGGTAAGGGGGGGATGGACAGAATCTTACTATGTAGTTCAGGCTGTCCTCAAACTCACTATGTAGCCAGGGCCGGCCTTGAACTCACAGCAGTCCTGCCTCAACCTCTCCTGAGTGCTGGAATTACAGGCGTGTGCCACCACATCCAGCTTCATGTGTCATTATTAACCATAAACAGTGCTTTATTGTGGTGTCGAGAATCCCTGGAATTGATCTCCAACAGCCTGGCCCCTGAAGACTTTCATGCCTCCTTCACATGCTATCCTCTGCTAACTTTGTGTTCACCAGTATGGAAGCCCTCTTAACTCATTGCTTAGGCTATTTATGGAGGTTCTCTTACATGAGCATGACGATCATCAGCTGTTAGTGATGACATCTGTGACACCAGCCCTGCTGTCCTGTCTCCCCTCCTCTAAGGTTCCGTCTGTGTGACTACTTGGAGTTTGGCAGCCTTTAGGCAAAAATAAAATTTTAAGATAGTAACATTCATAATCAAAGTATGAGCACTAGAATGGAAAGGCAGGTTGGAGAAAGAGCCACATTTAGAAACTGTACAGGATTGGAATATTGTAACCTGCTGGCTCTTAGACCCCTTTATTGATGGAGTTTCTGTAAGTCTGATGTTTTGTTATAAGTCTCTCTAGTTTTAGCTATAAGAATAGTTTGGTGGTTTTGAAGGACAAATTGTAACCAAGAAATTTAAAAACTATTGAGCTCTTACAGATTCTACCATAGTACCCCAGTGGTCAGCTACCAGTGTAGCTGGAAACCGCTAGAAAGGGTCAGCAACTGGAGCCTTTTTTTTTTTTAATCTAGCTTTAGTATTATGGTCTTTACTTGGTGTCTTTAGCTATACTTTTGTACTGGGTGTTTAAGACCAAGTTAAAGTGAGACCTGTATCAGTCAAAATTAACTTGTTGCTATTTATCAAGTTAAGTCTTCTCAGGCATTACTTTAGAACCATGCATAGAGTGTCTCAGTTCCTCAGTCAGTGTCATTCGTCATGGCCTTGCTTGACCTTGTTTTTGTTTTTGAGACAGGATCTTGCTTTGCAGTTCAGGCTATTCTTGACCTCACTATATAGTCAAGGCTGGCCTCGAACTCACTGGGATCCTGCCTCAATGAGTGTGATCCCTCCTGAGTGCTGGGATTACAGGCATGTGCCAGCCACACCTGGCATTTGCTTGATCATGCTTTCTTTGAAGGTGTGGGAGACTTTCCCTCTTGGTGACCCTCCTTCAGCACACCTGATTTTTGTCCTTCAGGGTCCAGCTGTCTTGCTTATTTCAGAGGTAGGGTGGCTCACCAAAGTTGTAGGATCCTGTGAGTTCCCTCATCATGTCCTGGGTTCTCATTGACCTTGGAGGACCAGTGCCAAAATATTGTCCGTCCTCTTAGCCCAATTGTCTTTCTAGTTCTGGTCTCCAAACTTTAGTTATTGAACACCCAAAAGAGATGATCAGAGACTAGTGTTGCAGTGAGATCAGTGAGCTTAGCTATTACAATTTTACCTGGATATCAAGCACTTTGAAATATAAAGTATAGTTAGCAGACTACACCATGTTTTTATCAAACATAGTTGTTCTAGTAGTTGAAATCTTGCAGAATATTAACAGACAACAGTTACAGTTTTACAGAGAAAGTGAGATCAAGACCAACACATAGTATTTATGACAATCATGATGACATTATCTTTGTAACACACTTAAATGTCTTAGTATAGAATAGCCTTTCAGTCAAAAATTTCCATCTGATCATGAGACATAACACAAAAAACTCTCACCTAAATTGTTAATTGTTCTTTAATAGGATCCATCTAAGAAGGTACTGGCCTGTAAATGGA